AACCTCACTTACATTGATAGTGCGCGAGAGCTTTGGGAGGATCTGAAAAGTCGCTTTGCGGTTGGAGACCCGATGCGAATTCACGAACTTAAGGAGTCAATACAGATGTGCAGGCAGAATGGGCAGACCATCGCGATGTAGTTTGGATGCCTAAAGGCGTTGTGGGACGACTACGAAGGATACCAGGTTATGCCCCAATGCACCTGTAATGGGTGTACATGTGATTTGACCAAGCAATATTTGAAGCAAATTGAACAAGAAGAGACACATGAACTTTTGATGGGCCTTGATCACGATATTTATGATGTGTTACGTTCAAACATCCTCAGGAGGAATTGCCAAGCTTGACAAGGGTGTATCAAATTATGATACAGGAGGAAAGGGTACGTAATATGACTCGGACCAGTGATGAAAAGGTCGATGATGTGGCCTTTGCTACTCGGATGGGCGGACAATTGGGAGGAAAGGACGGAACCGTAACCTGTAGCTACTGCAAGAAGCAGAGTCACGACATAGATAACTGCTTTAAGAGGACCGGGAATTATCCGGAATGGTGGTATGACAATCCAGGGAGAGGAAGAGGAGCACGTGGTCGGGGTGGAGCCGGGAGAGGACGTGGCAAGGGTGCTGGAGGAATATTACCTCAAATATACTGTATCTTATTTTGGTATCAGAGAGGAAAATACGATCCCTCTGTATACGTAGCAATGGTGAACGATGCAGCGCAGAACTCTGGCGATCGAACGAACGAACCGGTGAGAAGGAAAATCAATGATCCTTCATCATCGTAGTATCTGGTGAGCTCCGATTCCCAGGGTATCAACATCTGCGGCATCACACTCAAAGGTGAGAATAATTACCGGGAATGGACGACGACAATGAAAAATGCCTTTCGTGCAAAACGAAAGGTCGTTTTTTCTGATGGAACGATCAAACGACCGGAAGGCAACCCACAGGATCTGGAAGATTGGGATAGCGTGAACTCCATGCTAGTGGGGTGGATGATAACGACAGTGGAGCCTAGCCTACGTACAAACCTCACTTACATGGATAGTGCGTGAGAGCTTTGGGAGGATCTGAAAAGTCGCTTTGCGGTTGGAGACCCGATGCGAATTCACGAACTTAAGGAGTCAATACGGATGTGCAGGCAGAATGGGCGGACCATCGCGATGTATTTTGGACGCCTAAAGGCGTTGTGATACGACTACGAAGGATCTGGCATATGCCCCAATGCACCTGTAATGGGTGTACATGTGATTTGACCAAGCAATATTTGAAGCAAATCGAACAAGAAAAGACACACGAATTTTTGATGGGCCTTGATCATGATATTTATGGTGTGTTACGTTCAAACATCCCCGGCCAGGAGGAATTGCCAAGCTTGACAAGAGTGTATCAAATTATGATACAGGAGGAAAGGGTACGTAATATGACTCGGACCAGTGATGAAAAGGTCGATGGTGTGGCCTTTGCTACTCGGACGGGCGGACAATTGGGAGGAAAGGACGAAACAGTTACCTGTAGCTACTGCAAGAAGCAGGGTCACAGTATAGAGAACTGCTTTAAGAGAACCGGGAATTATTCGGAATGATGGTATGACAATCCAGGGAGAGGAAGAGGAGCACATGGTCAGGGTGGACCCGAGAGAGGACGTGACAAGGGTGCTGAAGGAAGATTACCTCAAATATACTGTATCTTATTTATTATCCTTGCTAGGACCATTTTCTTTCTGCATCACATTCCCACAAAGGCACAAAGAATGAGGCTCCCATATCTTTGTGTTCTCTCATGCATAGCCTTTCAGTATTTTGATTCCCTGATTAAAAAAATACCGTAATTAATACGTAGTACTACGTAAATATAAGTAGAAATAGACAATCACATCGGATTTAACTGACCAGACTGATATAAAAGTCGCTCATAATATCAAATTGGAATATGCTATTTTAGATCAAACTAGATTAAACCTAATGCGCCTTTGATTACACTGAAGTTGGTTTAATTGGTTGATTCTTTTGAAATTTATGAAGTTCTGGTTGATATATATATATATATATATATATATATATATATATATATATATATATATATATATATATATATATATATATATATATATATATATATATATATATATATATATATATATATATATATATATATATATATATATATATAGGGAAGAGTTCAACTAAAAAGACCTCTTCCCGTGCAAAGTGGGAAGATATGCACTTTTTCATGTTTCGCTTGCACTTTTTCATGTTTCTGCTTCACTTTTTCACGGTGGCGAAAGAGTGTGGTTTATTTACGAAATTGCCACCGCGATTTTGGTCGAATTTCATGCATTTTTGGCTCATTTTGAGCCATTAGATGTGAAAATGAATGCACAAGATTCATTCTCACTTTGCATGTGAAGAACTCTTTGTATTTGAACCACCCCCTATATATATATATATGTGTATAGAGAGAGAGAGAGAGAGGATCAAGTGAGAAGTGCCCTTAGACTGAAAACTGTGAAGCAAACTTATAGACTAAACACTCGAACTTTTAACCAATAAATCATAACTTAGACCCCCAAAATAATTGCGAAAAGGCTACCACAAAAAAATAATTCTAGAAACCCTAATTTTTTTTTGACGCGGTGTCATTTTCATAATTATGATGGAGAAGAATGCGCAGAAAGGTTCGCTGGGAAGTAATGCACAAAAAGGTCGTTGGGGAAGAAGAAGTGCACAGAGAAGAATGGTGTAGGGTCACTTTTATGGACTTTCTAGAATTGGTCATATTTTTGTCCCACACAAGCTGAGAAGTAATACTGGTGACATTTTTTCTTATTTGTAACCAACAAGCAACAACTACATCGTAAATTTTAATGTAATTTTTGTGCTTCATTAATACACTACAAAATACGGAGTGATGTGCAATTACACAAAGCCTTTTTTATTACGTCGTACGATAAAATGATGCACGGTTAATTGTCAAAATAGGACTAAAAGCTACTCATTTTGCACAAATAGGACCAAAAAGTAAACTTGTTTTGATAGGACTAATAATGTGTGTGTTGGACAAATATACCCTTGTTGCTATTGAAATGTTTTAATCCATAAAAAACAATAAAAAATAATAAAAACTCATAAAAAATACTAAAAAATTAAGGGAAAATAACTTTAAATAATACCAAAACTTAATAAAAATATTTAAATAATAATAATATTTTTTTGAAATTTAAATTTAAAAAAATAAAAAATAAAAAACGCAAAAAAAAAAAATTTACCGCCGCCTCTACTACTCCAGCACCACCACCTCCGGGCTCTAGCAGAAAAATATGCCACATCTATTACGAATGCCATATTTATGACAGATACAAGGAAAATTTTAGTATTCTCAAAGAGTAATAAGCTATTTTTTGGCATTTTCAAAAAAATGGCATTTTTCACACTAGTCAGAGTTGGTGGTGCAGGGAAGCAGTATAGGCGGTGGGAAAGACATTCATATTTTTTTTTTTTTTGTTATTTTTTTACTATTTGTTTTTAATTTTTTTATTTTTTTTAAATAAAAATTATATTTTTTATTTTATAAACATTTCATAAATACTTTATTAATTTTTTTTTATTTTTCTACGATTATTTAATTTTTTTCGGATTTATTATGAATTAAACATTTAATTATGACTTTTGACTACCTTTTAATCATATTAAAAGGAAGGGTAAGAATGAAATGAAAAATATGTATGTTTCCAATAGGAGTAATGTGGTCCTATTTGTAATAAAAACATAACAAGTCTTATTTTGGGTTTTTGACATATTTTTAGTCCTATTTGGAGTAATTTCTGAATGAGGTACTGTAACAGATCCGATGAGTGTTTTTTTTACCACGTGAATACGAATTTCTGAAATGTTTTAGCGATTTGAACATGGGTTAACTAATTAATCTGAACGTACTTCTGAAGTTCTAAGAGTACCGATGCAAACACCCTCTTGTTTTTTGGAGTCAAGACCTTTGGGAATGCCATTCCAATTCGTTACTGTTTTGGAAGTTCTTCATAAAAGAGAAAATTGCTAGCTTTCTAGCAATATGATTAAAAGAGGTTATGATTCCTAAAACAAGACTAGTTAGTTTTTTATTCCAGAATTAATGGTGTCTTGCATGTATGATGATGTATGATACATATGTAAGATTAAATTCCAAGATCGGCATCATGTAATTGTACATAATCATATACCTGTAGATATGAGATTTAGGAATACCTGGATCCATGATAGATGAATGAACTGAAATAAATCTCTTATCCCCTCTGAGTTCTTTCCTATGAGATTCTTGACGGGTAACGATTTTTTACTTATATTGTGTTTTTATTCCATAGGGAATACACATATATATAGAGACAGAGGAAAGGGTTGGGGAACCCTTGTCCAAACTCAAATACAGGTTGAGCCTATCATAAAACCAATTAAAGGTCTAAGACTATATGAACTCTATTAATAATATATAATCCAATTACATGACCAACATTAGAATATTAATTAATTAAATAAAAATTCTAACAACATATTCGAGTATTATTCATGTAAAGCACTACAAAAAAACACGGACGTAGTCACGGATTTAGTCACGGACCGCAGTGTAAAAAATCCGTGACTAACATAGTGAGTCACGGATTTTGTCCGTGACTAGGTCTGAGACTAATTCCGTGTGACTAAAATGTAGTCACTGAAATTTGGCCGTGACTAAAGTTAGTCACGGACCTGATCCGTGACTAATTCTTGACCAGAATTGCAACTCCGACACGTTAGAAATTTTGTAATCCTATACAGGCATACTTAAATTTGGCCGTGACTAACTTTAAAGGCATACTTAATTTTGTATGTGAATTCTCTGTGAATGTTAGAAATTATAATCCCTTAGAAATGAAAGTGTAGGGGAACTTAGAAATTTAACAGCCACAACAGTGTTGGAATCCCTTTTAACTGAAGAGGTGTTCTTGTTTCTTGAATTTGCAGACTGTTAGTGGAAAATCCTCCAAGAAGTCAATGTTAACTTTCCCGACATTTTCCAATGACACCCACAACACACCAAAAACGCCTCAAACAATAGAAATCCCACTGGATTGCTCACTTGAAAATCCTACGCAAAGCTGCCCTCCAAATTATTACCCATCAAAGCTGCCCACAGAAATCCAAGACTCCCAAACAACACCTCCACCATCATGCCCAGAATACTTCCGTTGGATCTATGACGACTTGTGGGCGTGGAGGGAGACTGGAATAACCAGAGAAATGGTGATGAGGGGCAGGAGAACCGCCAACTTCCGGCTGGTCATAGTGGATGGGATTGCTTACTACCAGAGATACCGCAAGTCATTTCAAAGTAGAGACACTTTTACCTTATGGGGCATTCTACAACTGTTAAGAAGGTATCCTGGAAAAGTGCCCGATTTGGACCTAATGTTTGACAATGTTGATTGGCCCGTCGTCAAGAAGAGTCATTTTCCAGGTCCAAACAACACAACCCCACCACCACTGTTCCGATACTGCGGGGACGACGCTACTTGGGATATTGTCTTTCCTGATTGGTCATTCTGGGGATGGTATGCTGTATGCATGCATGTGTCTACCTAGCTTTATGTATCTTCAGCTGCTAATTAAGAATAAGTGTTGTCATTATCTCAACTCTAAAAGAACCGTCATTAACAAGTGTGAGTTATCTGACACATCAAATGGTTGACATAAACTCATTTGGAAGGGTCTTGACATTATGTTTCAGGCCTGAAATCAATATTAAGCCATGGGAGGTTTTATCAAAGGAGTTGGTGCAAGGGAATAGAAAGATCAGTTGGGTGGAGAGAGAACCATATGCATACTGGAAAGGAAACCCTGAAGTTGCAGAAACCAGAAAGGATTTGCTCAAGTGTAACATCTCTGAGAAGCACGATTGGGGTGCTCGTGTGTACGCCCAGGTAAATTGCCTCACAAAATTTCTCTAATGCACATATGCAGTCTATTAAAAATAAAGGATAGGCGTAACTCATCAGCATAGTCTTAAAACATATATTTCATGAAGCACAAAAGTAATGTGTGGCATCTGTATTTCTTTGTAGGACTGGATCGAAGAACAAAAGAAAGGTTACCAGCAGTCCAACCTAGCTGACCAGTGCATTCACAGGTAAACAAAGTGACCTCAGTCAGAAAGAAAAAATAATTTTAATTTTTAATTACTAGAATATAACTTCAATTTAGAGTACTTGTAATTATTTAATTACATTGCTTTTATGTACATTAATTAATTAACTAATTATGGTTCTGATTGGGAAAATGACAGATACAAGATTTACATTGAAGGATCAGCATGGTCTGTTAGTGAGAAATACATATTGGCATGTGATTCTGTAACTTTACTAGTAAAACCACATTACTATGATTTCTACACCAGAGGTTTGATGCCATTGAAGCACTACTGGCCAATTAGGGATGATGACAAATGCAGGTCTATTAAGCATGCCGTTGAATGGGGTAATAGTCATGTGCAAAAGGTAACCTCAAATTTTTACGCACACACGGCACACACACACACACACACACACACACACACAAAGACACTAGGCCCATTCTCTTTGCAGCATGTTTCATCATTGATCACACCCGTTTTTCTAAATAATGCTATATCATAAGTTCATAACAATCAAGGGCCTAAGTAGACTTGATGTTCAACTCCAATATTTATAGGAGTTTTCCAAAGTCTTACGAGTATATGTAGTTTGTTACTTTTTGTTTAACCATTGTAGAATAAACTCTTCCACCCCAAGCGAGTTTTTGAGTCGATTTTTATAACACATCGCAGGTTAACTCATCCTCCATCATTTGCAATGGAGCTAAAGATTCATTATTTTTTTGCTTGAGATTATGATAGAATAAAGCAAAATGGCTCACTAAACTGTCTGCGCTTCTTTGTTATGAAACAGCAGTCAGTCCATGCAATTTTGGACGGGATTTTCACTATGGGTCATCCGGAAACAGTCTCTCTTTGCTTTAGTACAGGGGTAAGACTGCGTACATCCGACCCCCTTACCCCATCGTAGGTGGGAGCCTTTGCGGCACTGGGGTAAATGAAAATGAAATGAAAATGATGATCGCAGGTTAACTCATTTGACATTGATGAAATATAAAAGCATCAACCAACATGTAAGGCATTGTCTACTCTTCATGAATGAAGTTTGTCTGATGAAATTGCATGTTTATTATGTGTATAAAACAGGCACAAGAGATTGGGAAGGAAGGAAGCAAATATATTCAGGAAGAATTGAAGATGGAATACGTGTATGACTACATGTTCCATCTGTTGAATGAGTACGCGAAGCTCTTGAAGTACAAACCAACAAAGCCTCAAGATGCGGTTGAACTTTGTTCAGAGAGGATGGCTTGCGGAGCGAAAGGATTGGAGAAGGAATTCATGTTGGAGTCCCTGGTGAAAAGCGCATCACTCACACCACCCTGCACAATGCCACCTCCCTTTGATCCAGCAAGTCTCCACACTGTTGTGAAATCCAGAGAAAACACAATAAAGCAAGTGGAGTCATGGGAAGACCTTTACTGGCAACATTAAACCCCGCCTGACATATACATGAAGCATACGTGATATATAGATACGGAGTATATATATATATATATATATATATATATATATATATATATATATATATATATATATATATATATATATATATATATATATATACACACACACACACACTTACATACGAGGGTATACTTGTAGTGTAGCTGCATTATATATATACGTACACACTTCTATATCATGCTTACTATGAGTTTATGTTTTTCTAGCTCTATCCCATTGTATACATCTAACAATGTCAGATCAATCAACATTATACTTTTTTCTTAGAGAAATTGCCCGATATAGGAGTAAACATTAACATAATTGCACAAATAGGAGTAAAACTTAAAATTTCCTTCGATAGGAGTAAACATTAATTTTGTACCCTTAATATCCCTAACCTAGTAAATTCTAAAATTTGACTTATTTGATCCTATTAAAAAAAATTAAGTTCATTCACTTGGAACCATACCTTTATGCAGGCCATTTAATTTTAAAAATAATCTAAGTTCATCCCAACAATATTAAAATATTAAAAATTAAAAAAGTTATTTTTGTAAAAATAAAAAAATTTAAAAATGAATAAATATTAGATAAATTGTATTAAAAAATATAAAAAAATTATGCAGGCCTTTCCCGCAGCCTCGATCATCACCCAACAATGTCACCTCCGATCGGTGAAATAATTTCATTTTATGTAAAAACTAACATTTTTCTTTCAAATTGCCATAAAGATGGCAGTTTTACTCTTTGAAAATGTCAAATTTTCTCAAAATTTGCCATCTTGATGGCATTTCGGGAAAAATGTTGGCATTTTTTTGGTGATCAAAGCTGGTTGTGGTGGGAGGTTGTTGAGACGGTAGCAGACGCCTACATATTTTGTTTTTGTTATAAAATGGAAGGAAATGAGCAGAAGATCAGGGAGAGAAAATATAGTACGAACACTTAGTGATAGAGGTGTATTAGAGATGTTCTAATGGTGTAATCATGGTGTCTTTACAATGAAGCAAAGAACCTCTATTTATAGGCTAAACAAGTGATTAGCTCAAGATGAGGGATTAATATTAGCCACATAATCATTAGAAATCATAATTGTGATTTCTAGATTATCCTGATAATGATAATAATGACTTATTAATCATGAATAGTTAGGAGATGACTAATTCATTATATTTCAACACTCCCCCTTGAATGGTCATCTTCCAATTATTCATGGGTATAAGTTTCATAGTATAATGTACTATCTCGTTAAAAACCTTTGTCAGGAAAAACCTAGTGGGATAAAAACCTGGCAAAAGGGAAAAAGATTGCACTGCATTATATTACCCCCCCTCAATTTAACATATGTCTAGAAGACGACACATTCTAATTTTGTGGACCAGTTCTTCAAATTTCTTCGGTGCCAATGACTTTGTGAATAAATCAGCAGGGTTGTCGCAGGACTTGATTTGTTTGACATCAACTGTTCCTTCTTTCTCAAGATCATGTGTGGAGAAAAGTTTTGGTGCTATATGCTTTGTTCTATCCCCTTTGATGTAACCTCCTTTGATCTGAGCTATACATGCTGTGTTATCTTCATAATTCACAGTAGGATTACAAAAGATTTTATACCGCATTCATTTTGTATGTGCTGGATCATTGATCTCAACCAAACACATTCTCGACCTGCTTCATAAAGAGCAATTAATTCTGCATGATTTGATGATGTGGTAGTTAATGTTTGCTTCATCGATCTCCATGAGATAGCGGTATCACCATAGGTGAATACATATCCTGTTTGTGATTTTGCCTTTTGTGGATCAGACAAGTATCCTGCATCGGCATAGCCACTTAAAGTGGCATTTGCACCATTCTTGAAATACAATCCAAGATCGATTGTACCATTGAGATAGCAGAATATATGTTTGACGCCATTCCAATGTCTTCTTGTCGGAGAAGAACGGTACCTGACTAATAAATTTACAGAAAAAGCAATATCTGGTCGGGTATTATTAGCCAAATACATTAACGCTCAAATAGCACTCAAATATGGTATTTCGGGACCAATGATTTCTTCATCATCTTCACAAGGTCGAAAAGGATCATCATGCACATTGAGAGATCGAACCATCATTGGAGAATTGAGTGGGTGAGCTTTTTCCATGTAAAACTGCTTCAAAAGTTTCTCGGTATAATTTGATTGGTGGATAATAATACCATTTCTCAAATGTTCAATTTGAATGCCGAGACAAATTTTTGTTCTCCCAAGGTCTTTCATTTCAAATTCTTTCATGAGATATTTAACAGTATTTCCAATTTCATTGAGAGTTCCGATTATATTCAAATCATCAACATATACTGCAATTATGGCGAATCCTGAATCAGATCGCTGAATGAAAACACATGAACTAATAGGATCATTTTTGTATCCTTCTTTGATCAAATATTCGCTTAGACGGTTATACCACATGCATCCAGATTGTTTTAATCCATATAATGACTTTTGCAATTTTATGGAAAATAAATCTCGAGATTTCGAGCTATAAGCATCAGGTATTTTAAAGCCTCAAGGAATTCTCATATATATGTCTGTATCGAGTGAACCATATAAATATGCGGTCACTACATCCATTAGCCGCATTTGCGGCCTTTTAAAAACAGACATGCCAATTAAAAATCGTAAAGTAGTAGCATCAACTACTGGAGAATACGTCTCATCATAATCGATTCCTGGCATTTGAGAAAACACTTGGGCAACAAGTCAGGGTTTGTATATAACGATTTCATTTTTCTCGTTGCGTTTACGCACAAACACCCATTTAAAACCTACAGGTTTTACACCTTTTGGCGTGTGGACAATTGGTCCAAAAACATTACGCTTTGCTAGCGATTTTAGTTCTACCTGGATCGCTTCATTCCATTTTGGCCAATCGTTTCTACGACGACATTCGTCAATAGATTTAGGCTCATTGTCATCATGTTCATTCATGATATTTGTGGCGATGGCATACGAAAATATATCATTAACATCAATATCTTTTCTATTCCATTGTATTCCATTAGAAACATAATTGATTGAAATTTCGAAATTATCAACGTTTCTATCTTTATCTGGAATATTTACCTCTTCAAAGGTGATTTGATCCTCTTTTTGTCACGCCCCGGACCTACCCCGCCGTACAGTACGAATAGTCAACCGCAGTCCGACTCATCCATACTATACAAGGCGTCTTGAATACCATTCACACATAGTACATCCATAAACAAACATAATGTAAAACATTTATTAAAACAGCGGAAACAATTGATACAAGTGTTCAAGCCACACTTGGCATAATTAGGCATGCAAGCCCCCAAAGTAATTATTCAGAAAATATTATCCATGAGCATTATTCATATTGTTTTTTTTTTCAAAACAAGAACGAGAGAAGCACGAACCAAGTCTTCTCCTCAGAAACTTCCCGAAGCAGCGGTTGGTGGTAACAACCTTCAAGTTCTACCTGAAATTGTGAGGTGGCCTCCCCCGTGAAGGGGATGTCAGTACTTGGAAGCATTTGACAAGTACAATGACAACTATACTAAGTATAATCAAGGTTTAAATCTCCAAGGCCCTCAAACTAGAGCATTATTACATTATAGTTAATCCGTTCATTTAGTATCAATTCATCATTATTTACCACAGTCTAGAGCCCAACTCATAATCACCGTTATCTACTACGGTCTAGAGCCCAACTCATAATCACCGTCATCTACTACGGTCTAGAGCCCAGCTCATAATCACCGTCATCTACTACGGTCTAGAGCCCAGCTCATAATCACCGTTATCTACATCGGTCTTGAGCCCGGCTCATAATCACCGATTCTTTATAATTCAAACTCTTAGGATCTAATTCATCCATTCCTCAACTAACATTTCCAACAAATGTTTCAATGCTAGTTATTTATTTATTTCAATATAATTCTTTCTTCTTGCCCAAATGGGCCTTAATATCAAGTATCATTTTCATACACTCATAGCTTCTCCTCATGGCATCAAAGCATACTATCTCAAATGATATTCATGGTTGGTACAACCATCATACACACATATTCATAGCATCTAAACATACACAATTTATTCATAAATTTGTGTATCATGCATACTATACTTATAGTCAATAGTAGTTTCATTTAGGCATTATTAACCATTAACAACTCATACACATCACATTTATATTCACTTAAGAAATCCCATGAAATTAACCCAAAGATTATATGTAACATAGTCGGTCATCCTCACCTTAATTAAGCTTAAGCGCGTTCTACGTTTCTTGATTGAACTTTGACCAACTCCGGCGAACTTTGACCAACTCCGGCGAACTTTGACCAACTCCGACAAAACTCCGGCGAGGCTCAAAAATACTTTAAATCAAGTTCCTAACAAGGTTTTATCATCACAAAACCCATATCAACACAAATAACCTATAAAAGGTTATTTTCCGGCAAACCGGTCGATTTGGCTTCTAAGTCCGTTTTTGGACTTAGAATCACTTTCCAACCCATTATTCCACACTTTAAATCATGTAGAACAATACTAAAGGCCTTTCATATGATTTATATCTTATATGCTAGAAGAAAAACAAAGGAAAAGTTATGATAAGGTCATTACCTTAATTTTCACACTTTTTCCTAGCTTTTTCCTTCTTAAACTTCCTTCTTGGACTCCCTTGAGCTTTAGTTCGGATTTGGGCTATGGAGATGAGAAGTTTCAGAGACTCTCCTTGCTATCCTAGGGTGCTGAATTGTGTGGGTGGAGATGGTGAGGTGAGGGGGTGGTTTTTGTCTCATTTAGACAAATGAGTGAAGGGAGGGGGTCTACTACATGTCAAAGGTGTCTCCCCCATCCTCTCAATTGTTGTTCAGCCAATTTGGCACTCATCCAGCCCTCAAGGGTTGACAATTTCGTGGGGTGGCCCCCACCCATGTGGGAGTTCATCCTAATTTGTCCCAAAGTGTGCAATTTGCCCCGAAAGTTGTATTTTCTGGACTGTTTTTAAGTATATTTTATTTTATCGGGTCAAATAAAATATAACACTTGTTTCCAATTCTTAATGGACCTTAGAATCAATATGCATCCCTCAACTTTAATTTAGAAGTCTCCGAGATCCCTTTTCGGGCTGTTATCTGATAGATTTCCGATACTGATAATTTCGCCCCGTTTGACCAACCGGTCAACCCTATGCCATTGTCATGGCTCAACTAGGATATCCACCACCATATACATATTATCTAGTCCAAGATCAATATAATATGTGTCCCCGATAATATCGGGCGGTCCCCACTCCCGATGTGGGCCCCACGTGCAATTTACTATTCACGTGAAAAAAAAATATTATACAAATTCACAAAAAAAAACTTCATAAGGTTCAATAAATTATTCGCTTAAAGGTAAATACATTTGGGGACAGTGTTACACTTTTGAGGTATCATTATTATTGATGTTAGGCTAAAGGGTCAAATAGGCCCCTGTACCTTTCCGAATTGTTCAATTTGCCCCCCGGACTCAAAAAAGCTCCAATTGGCACCCTGAACTCCACAAAAAGATTCAAATTTTACTTTTTGCAGGTCACAAGCCGGTCACCGCCACATCACCCGGTAGGGTGCCAACTGTGCATGTGACATGACAACTTAGGGGGTCAAATAAGCCCCTGAACCCGATTGAAATGTTCAATTTACCCCCTCAACCCTT